CCATGCCATTCATTAAAGGGCAACACCCTGACTTGCCTTTCTCCACTTCTTCCACGAGGGGGCAGCCCAGCCTCGGCGGCCTCACAAGCCACCCATACAAGGAGTTGGTTCAAATTCCTGTCCCCAAACATTCTCACATATTCCTTGATCACTCATCATGGTGGTTTAGAAAACAGAAGTTATGAAAATCCACGTACGCCCAAAAGTTATTTCACGAAGCTATGGACCCAAATGAAGCCCGGCTTGCGTGGGCGGCCTCCAGAGGGTAGAAAAAATCAAGCGAAGGGATTCTCCCCGAGAGCCTGCAGGAAGGGATGCGACCTTGCCGGCATGCTGATTCTGGCCCACTGAGACCTGTTTCAGATTTTTGGCCTCCAAAACAGCAAGATAATAAATGTGGACTGTTTTCAAGTCACCATGTCTGTAGTCTTTGTTACAGCATCGATCAGAAACCAATACACAGGGAGACCTACAAGAAAACCATTGTAATTGTTTAGATTTCTAGAGATGGCTCAAGAAATATTTACCTTACCTACTAAATATTGGGACCTGTATTAGGTCCTCTTTCACCCTGGCCGTCAGGCCATTTGCCACCTTTACAGAGGCAGGACTTGTCCTTTCACGAATTCCTGTCAATATACTCACTCCAAAGCACAAGCAGTCCCCATACGTGGGATTCCATGTCACCCAGTGGAATCAACGCTTGGTGGCAGTGCCAGGGGCAGACAGCTTGGGAAAACTACATGGCAGGGCACCTCGGTGAACCAGTCTATGACTGTGAACTGGGCAAACGCGCACTTGAACTGGAAGAGGGATAAAAGTTTTGACTGGACTACCGCAGATTTGACCTGGCTGCTCATCTGAGGTTTGGAACAGACAGGTACACAGATGAAACTCAGATGTCTGACACAACAAAACACACAAAGGCAACTTTGTGCTTCCCTCTCCTGACCCCTGATAAATAAATCTCTGTTGGAACAAATAATCAATCAATCAATCTATTGGAAAGGGGATTTGTTCTTTCTGTGGTTTCTCTAGGGATGATGGGTGATGCCTGGGTATCAGGCATCTTTGTATTTGCCAAATCGGAATTCAAAGTATCTTGGCCCAGGGGCCTATTTTTTTAATATAAATTTATTTATTTATGTATTTTTGGCTGTGTTGGGTCTTCACTTCTGTGCAAGGGCTTTCTCTAGTTGCGGTGAGCAGGGGCCACTCTTCATCGTGGTGCGCGGGCCTCTCACTGTCGCAGCCTCTCATCGTGGAGCACAGGCTCCAGATGCGCAGGCTCAGTAGTTGTGGCTCACGGGCCCAGCTGCTCCGCGGCATGTGGGATCCTCCCAGACCAGGGCTCGAACCCGTGTCCCCTGGATCGGCAGGCAGACTCTCAACCACTGCGCCACCAGGGAAGCCCCCAGGGGCCTATTATAGGGTAATTCCCCAGGCTCAAATATTCAACATCCATGAGTATTTTTTTAAGGATTGGTAGTAACCAATGAATGTGGACACTTAGAATACTTTTCCTTTTTTTTTTTTTTTTTTTTTTTAATCAGCAGCCCAAGACAGTTTCTTATATTTAGAAGCCTGGATCTAGGGTTACGTATCAAGATACACGCATAATGCTGTTCTGCTGAATGCAGCTGTCTCGTATGGGCCAAAGATCATTTGCTGATCCAGGAGCTGAGACCAGCGATTTTATGTCTGCATCTGCTTCTGCCCATAACTTGCGGGCAAAGACAGAGCCACTTCAAAGGCTGTAGCCCTATCAGCCTTAGCAATGCACAGAGCAGTGGGACAGGGACATTCCCTCCCTGAGGCTTTGCCCCTTGGATACAGCCAGTGCCCCCTCCTGCAAAGGGACCGCATGACACTGTTCCTTGCCTGTCTTAGCACTCTCACATTTCCTTCTAATTGTTTCTATATGTGCTTGTTCCCCACTAGCCTGATAACTCTTCCCAAGGGTCTCTTGTCATCCTATTGGAACCTGCAAAGCCTAGCCCAGTTTCTATGGCTGAACAGGTGCTCTGTCAATACTGGTCGGATGAGGAAATGGAGGAGAGTGACAGCAGAGGGGGTCAATTGTTTGAAAAGCTAGTAGATGACTTTTACCCTGCTTGTGACAGGCACTGTAAGAAGCAGCCTGCTTAATGCAGACTGGTTGTGTTTTGTTTTGTTTTGTTTCCCCCTGCTCAGCATCTGTCTCTCCTTCTGGTAAAAGCATTTTAGTTTTCCTTTGGGAAACCACCCTTCCCACACTCTCAATCCATAAAGTTTGGGTGGAGCTGACTTCACCCTCAGTTTTACTGGCTGAATCGTGACCCAGTTCTGCCCAAAGAGGGTACCACACAGCCCTGGACACAGCTTCCCTTTGTGTTGGAAAGGGTGGCCACAACGGTTTGTTAATGGCTGGTATCCATTCTGATGGCTTGGTTCCTGCTCCAAATCAATTGTGCATTATTTCAAATGGAAACTTCTTTTTTTTTTCCCCTTGTAGCTATTAGGGAAGAGTTACTTTATTTCCACAGGCATTGCTTAGCTGGTAGGAAGAAACCTGAAGATGCCGGCAGCCACTGTGCCACTGTGAAACCGAAATGTACTCAGGAAGTTGAAGCTGAGAAATAGATAAGGGAGACGTTCTTAATGATGCTGAACACCAAGACCCAGCTATACCTGAAGCTATCCCTGGAATTTTCAATTATATGATCGAGTAAACTCTTCTTTCTGGAGCCTTTTTTTTTTTTTTTTTTTGTCATTGGCTGCTGCAAGTGTCCCCTGGTCTTGGCCAATCTGTTTCCTAACTGTGCTTTTTGGAGTGGAGCAGGGGCGATCTCAGCCTTGCAGGAGGTCCCAGAGAAGACCGTCATCTCACTTTGTCAGTATTAAAGCTCGCTGCCAGGCCCCAGGGGCCCAGAAAAAAAATCAGACCCTCATCTTGATCCCAGAAATCTCAGTGGCTTTAGTGGGACCAACACTTTTAATGCCTCCCAGAAGGGCATTTCAGGCCATGAGTTAGATCTGAGTTGACACCTCTCTAGCCCCACCCTGGGCCTCTCTGTGGTCCTCTCTATAGGCTGAGGCTGGGACGAATGAGCCCGTTTCGATTATGGGAGTCTCTAGAAGGTTGGGAACCCCAAGAAAATACAATGTATACACCGTGGTAAACAGGCTTTCTTAAAACCATTTTTATTCTGCCTCTCAGCAACACTTCATTTGATCTGGGTAGAAGATCAGGGACTCAAATACAAACAAACAAAAAACAAGGTGTGAGAAACAGAAATCAGGATCCCATATACTGGAATGATGCCAGGATCTCTGTGTGCTGAGAACTGGTGTCCCTGATTCATGTCCTCCTGGGACAAGTGCTGGCTCGTGATGGACGTCTGGGAAAAATGACAGGTGGAATCTGGTGTCCATCAGTGTTTGTTTTTTGCGAGGGTCCAGGATATTTAACGAACGCCTGAGATTCGCAATATCTAAGAACAATGCTTTGTAGAGCACTTAGAATTTCCCTCCAGGGGCAATCATATCTATCATGGCGATGAATTCTCATAATAACGCTCTGAGGTAAGGAGGCAGGCGTTCTTATCTCCATTTTCCAGATGAAGAAATTTGAGGCACAGAGGCTAAGAAACTTGCCTGAAATCAGCTTGCATAGCTAGTTAGTGGCAGAAAAGGCTTTGGAACTCAGGTGTTTTGACCCAGCCTCTTGTTCATTCACTTAGAATAAGCTGCCTTTTCTCTTGCTTAGGAAAGTTATTTTCACTATTTCTAGTATTAGTGTTTGAAGTTATTTTTGACATATATACCTATCACCTGTTGTGTTAACCACTTAATATTTTCTTTGAGTCCACTTCCTTTTGTTAAGTAAATGTATTTGAACAGAAAACAATGTCCCTAAGTAGACAGCTATAAATGGAAGGTAATTAATAAAATACATAGAATGAAAACGCAACCCAGTAAGTTATTAAATTCTATCTAAACAAAAGACTTTGAACCCGAGGCCTGCTCTTTCTTTATTAAGAAGGAAAAAGAACCAAAGGACCCGTGAGCACTACACAGAGACCTTCTCTGAGCTGTAATCAGGATTGAAAAAGAATAGAAAAGGGCAAATGTTCCTTGTGATTCAGTGTCACTTAATGTTGTGGCTTTAAATGACTTGACAATTATCCTTGTGTACCACCAGGTTAGCGTCTTCTGGAAGGCAGAATAATGGTGGCCTTGTTAAACCAGTGTAGTCACACCTAAAGGGTTTACATTTGACAGAAAGTAAGTACAGTGGGTGGCATTTCCAGGTGGCCTCCAGGAAAATCAGAGGTCTTGCCTGAGACTTGCTAAAGAGAGAAGGAGGGGAGAGAGAGCTTGAATAAAAGCACATCCTATAAACACAGCCAGCATATTCCCAAAACCGGGATGGGAAAGGTGGCCGCGTACCTAGAATTGACCACTAAGTACATTCTCAGAGTCTGAGTGAAAACTGTGGCTGTGGTCAAGTTCACCCGGGGTGGATGCAAGGAAGGGGTGGGTGGGAGAGAGTTACGAGAAGTGAGATCAAGACAGAAGACCAGAAAGCTCCTTCATCGGAGTCTTCAAAGACGGGATGGTGAACTCTGGGGAACTGACGGAGGAGCTACTGAAGACTGAAGCGAAGCTACAACATGTAGAAATAAAAGGAAACAATCCACAAATTCAGCTCTGTTTGATGCCTTTAAACATGCTACAAACGTGCTCAACATTGCAAACACCAGCATCCCTTGCTCTTCCCAGAACCTCCCTCTCCTTCCGGATCTGGACCCCTCTCCCCCATTAAAAGTAATGAGATTTTCTGAGGCTTATCTCTGGAGAAGAGGAAAGGACACATGGACACAATGGCTTTTGATAAACTGAAACAGTGAGACTTGATTTTCTTTCTTAAAAAAAACCCAACAAAACAATGACCCTGGCTGGCCTGGCTTTGCTGCCTGGTTTTCCTAAATTGTGGACATTTTTTTTTTCTTTTCGTTTTTAGTTCATTTGCCAGGGAGAGTCCTGGAGGAAAAGATCTCACAGTCTGAAGTCAAGGATCCATTCCTCAGAAACTCCTTTGGGGTGTGTGTGGATGAGGTCCGTCCTCCATGCTGGCTGCTGGCTGCTCAGGCCCTGTGTGTACAAGAGATAAAGTGAGGGGCGTGGGGTGGAGGGGGGAGGGAGGAGGGAGGGAGAGAGGGAGGGAGGGAGGGGGGGGAGAGGGGGAGAGAGGGAGGGAGGGAGGGAGGGAGGGAGGGAGAGAGGGAGAGAGGGAGAGAGGGAGGGAGCAGAACCTGGTCACCAAGGGCTTCTGTCTTTAAGAAGTACTCTAATTCAACCAGTGCTGGTGTGGACGAGCAGGTCTGCACGCTGTTGAGTCTAAGCACTGGCTTCTTTTTGAGAAATATTTTATTGGAAACATGTTATGTTTTAGGTGTGGCACATGCAGAAAAACCCAAACGATACAGATGTAGGCATACTCATGGTTCGTGAGTCTTTTTGAATCTTATTCTCCTCCTCAAGGGTTAGTAGCACTGTTAGCATTTGGGGTGCATCCTCCAGGCATTTTCCTCTACATTTAAATCCATAAATATTCACTTAGAAATTCGTTGTGTGTGTGCATGTGCATTTATTTATTTACACTCATTCATTCATTTATTCAATAAATATTTATATGCCAGGCACTGCTCTAGGTGCTGGTGTTAATAACAATACCCAGCAGTTACTACCATGTGCCCGGCACTGTGCTTTATACAGTTTAGTCTTCACAGCCCTATGAGGTAGGTACTGTTTTATCTTCATTTCATAGATGAGACAACTGAGGCACAGATTGGTTAAAAGACGTGCCCAAAGGCACACTACTACTTAGATTTAAACCCTAATGGGCTAGCTTCACGGGAAGCACCCTTAAGTGTTATGCTCCATTGTTATGGGCAATGACAGAAATGAAATGAAAATGTTCCTGGAGTTTTCATTCCAGTAGGAGGAAACAGACCATTTTATATATATATAAAATATATATTTTATATATTTATATAAAAAATTATATGCATATATAAAAGTTGTCAGGGAGAAGTAAATACTAGGAAGAAAAGTAAACTTGGTTAAGGGGACACAGGGAAGAGACGTGGGGCTGTGGGTGCTATTTTAGAGAAGGTGGTCAGGGGCAGCCTCTCTGCTAAGTAACATATGAGCAAGCATCTCAAGGAGAGATGGGAACAAGCCATGTGAATATTGGGAGGAAGAAAATTCTGGGCAGAGGGGCCAGCAAGTGCAAAGGCCCTGCGGCATACTTCTGTTGCTCAAAGAAGAGAGAGGAATTCAATGTAGCTGAAGTGGAGGAGTGAGGGGGAGAGTCCTGGGAGATGAGGATGGAGAAGCAGCCACCAGATCCTCTGGGGCCTTATAAAGCCACAGTAAGGGAGATACTTCCGTGTTTAAACTGCAGTGTATTATTCCATCCTATGAATGAACCACTGTGTATTTAACCATTTTCCTGCTGATGGACATTTAGGTTGTTTCAAGCTTTCCCCTATTTCGAACGGAGCTTCAATGAACATCATTGCACATCCTTGATTCTCATCCCTAGGCTGCAGGTCAGAATCATCTGTAGGGCCCTAAAACCTACCAATGCCCTGCCCTTTCACTGGAGATTCTAACTTAACTGGTCCAGGGTGCGCCCTGGGCATTGGTGATTTTAATGTGTAAGGAGGAGAACTACTGTTTTACATGCCTTTTTGTGACGCTGAAAAGCAGAGTTGCTGGGTGGGCGGGCACATAAATTTTAAAGTTTAATAGATACAACCAAATTGATCTCCCAAAAGACTGTCCCAATTTACTGTTCCACCGACAGTGTGGTATCCAATTCTTCACACTCTCACCCACCTTGACATTAGCCGTCTTTTAAATTGTTTCAATCTGGCAGACAGAAAAAAAAATTATATATATATATATATATATATATATGAGTATTTTGTTGTTGCTTTAATTTGTGTTGCCCTGGTTACTGAAGAGGTTGAACATCTTTTTCTTTCCTTTATAAAAATGTCTTTCTCTTAAAAACATTTCTTTATTTTTTTGAACATGTTTATTCTGATGTTTTCATCAATGTCCCACCAGCTTACAAACTTTTCAAAGCAAAAATCTGTCCATTGTTGATGACTTAGGTCTTACTTGTCTTTACTGCAACTCATCTGAACCAACATAGAAAGCCCTTCTGATCTTCTGGAAACAGGTAACGTTCCCCATTTTTCATCATGGAATCATAAAAATTCTCTGAAGACACATCCTGCGCGAAACAATCAGCAAGAAGCCTCACACCAGCCAGTAATACAGGGAATAAGAGAGATTTGCTTTTATGTTTTTGCAAGACCAAGTCCTTGCTTCTTATCCCCCTTGAGATGTAGGCTTAAGTATATATGTAAGTAAGTATATGCCTACTTCCCTTCTAATGCAAAGGGAGGATATTTTGAGGTCGGGAAAGGACCTTTCCGGTCTGTTTGTGAGACGGAAGCTTTGCCGTACAGAATGCGTTAACATCTACTAACTCTGAACCTACTAATGGGAGAGAGTCGTGGGATCCTTAAATTTAGAAGTCAAGTTCTTCCTTAATGGAACTCTGGAACATGAAATTTCTTATTGCTAAGAATGACAAACATTTTTAATACATGGTGGGAGTGTGCCTAGCTGTTTAGGTACCTACAAGAACACCCAGAGATGTAAGGTCAGTGGAATTGCAATATATGTGCATTTACAGAAATCAACTATGCATGTTCCTCAAAGAGAAAAAAGCAACCGTTTAAATGGAGCTTCTGGCCACCAGGTCGCTCGACACTTATGAGTATGAATGGGTACAGGGCTCCCACCGAGCTCGGGACGTGGTTCCAGTGTTGAAACATACAACACAAACATCTCTGCTGAATCTGTCACAGGTGAGGCCTGTGCTTTGTGAAACATGACTACAACAACCTCACTTGCCTGAATCCTCAGACACCAGCAGAAAGTAAAACTCTGTAGACTTGCTGACGTAGGCTGGGCATGTGAAGAAGCGGGATCAAGAACTAGACGGCTGCAGTATTTAAACGTCTCACCTCTGTGATCCATTCCTCCACTTTCCCTAGTAACCTGCGGGCAGCGGGCTTTATAACTGCAAGAGACTGCAAGTTTCTGATTCCATCTGGACCAGAACATTTCTCTTCTGACGGCTCAGCATTCTATCCCAAACTGTTGACTATTTTAGTTCGATGATTCCCTGTTCTAACGGACCGCATGTCATGCAACTCTTTCTTTGCTCTAAGCACCACGTGGCTCACACAGACAACCTGTAAAATTAGGATGAATGATGGAAAAAGAGATCATATTTGGGGTTACCAGAGGCAGGGGTTGGGGGGAGGGAGAGTTGGATGAAGGCGGTCAAAAGGTACAAACTTCTAGTTATAAGATAAATGAGTGCTAGGGACGTGATGTACGATGTGATAAATATAATGAGTGCTGCCGTACGTTACACATAAGAGTGGTTAAGACAGCAAATCCCAAGAGTTCTCATCACAAGGAAAAATATTTTTTTCTATTTCTTTAATTTTGTATTTACATGAACTGATAGATGTTCACTAAACTTACTGTGGTCACCATTTCATGGTGTATGTAAGTTAAGTCATTACGCTGGACACCTTAAACTTACACAGCGCTATATGTCAATTATATCTTGATAAGACTGGGAGGAAAAAAATTAGGATGAATGAGACTTTTTTATGAGTTTGGGTGAAGAGACTATCACGACCTGAGTCTATTCCGAGAAAACAAACTACCCGAGATTCCAGTCACTTGAGGGACAAGAGATTGGTTACAGTTTTCTTAATAAGGATAAGGAATACTTTTTTGAAAGGCAGAACTTCACCATTTTTAAAAGGCAATAGGTGACTTCAGACAGTTTTTTTTTTAATGAAACGCAGAAAACTGACATATTCAAACCTTTCGGTCTTATCTCTAGGGTAGTTCTTCTCTAAAGTCAGATTTTCCCAGCCCCTCCAAGGAAGTCCTTGCTGCCTTTTAGACTGCTACAAAAGAGCCTCTCTCTGCGGGTCCGTCTCCTAGGCTGTAAAATGACCCCCATCCTTGGCCTTGAGTTAGATATAACATGTTAGGATGACAAGTTTGCTGAGGTAAATGAAAACTGACCACTCTGTTAACGGCTGGCTACTGTTAGTGCCTCTGCCTTTTAGATTTGGGAGGGAGAAAGATCGGTGCGTTCTGATCACCTGCACCAGAGCCCTAGGGCAGGAGAGGGGAGCTTGGAAATGCAGATTCTTGGTCCTCGCTTCTGGCTTTGTGAGTTGGAATCCTTTGAGGTAGGGCTTCGACGATGTCCACCTCTTTTAAAACTCCCCAGGTAACTCTTCTGCAGCCCAAAGCTTGGGAACCTCTGCCTTAGCAATTCCACCTTGCCATTCAGTTCCTGCATTAAGCCAGGCTGGGAAATTTTATTTCTAAGGATTACCGAGAAATCGGTCTTGTTACTGGTCTTAACGGAAGATAGAATTGATTTCATTCACTGAGGCCTAGTTTCTTGCTGTCTCTTACACTTACACACACACACACACACACACACACACACACACACACACACACACACACACACACACACACCCCAAAGCCTTTAAATTTGAGTGTCTCCATGGGATTCTAACTCTGGAAGACATTTTTGCTTTCTTTGATAACACGGAAGAAAAAGTATCTAAAAGGAAGCTGACCATACAGATGTGGGGAAAATTCTATCCTCACTTTATAGAGAGGGAAATTGAGGCACAGAGAGTTTCATGACACGTCCGGGCGGTCTGGGTGGTAGAACTAGGATTTGAATCCTGCTGCGGGCCAGGCTCTAACAGCTGTGAAACACTTCCCCTCAGGGAGAAGGGGTGGAGAGGGGACTTCCTCTCCTGTCCTTTACTACTCCTAACAAAACCTCAATCACAAGCATACAAACATCAATGCTTTATCTCCAGATAGAAATATTTATATTAAGAATGGAGAAAGTCCCCATACATGAAGACTTCTGCGTCCCTAGTAAAACTTCTTGCATGGTGTCTAATAGGCAAACTGAACTCTGAAAGCCAAACTGTCCCCCGGAGACTGCAAAGTAGCTAATGTCCAGGCTGCAGGTGCGATTTTTGTGTTTTTTGTTTTGGGCCCTCACCACGTGTTTAAACGATGTGAACTGGTTGTCAAAATCTAAAAATCCGGCTTCCCTGGTGGCGCAGTGGTTGAGAGTCCGCCTGCCGATGCAGGGGACACGGGTTCGTGCCCCGGTCCGGGAAGACCCCACATGCCACGGAGCGGCTGGGCCCGTGAGCCATGGCCGCTGAGCCTGCGCGTCCGGAGCCTGTGCTCCACAACGGGAGAGGCCACAACAGTGAGAGGCCCGCGTACCGCAAGAAAAAAAAAAAATCTAAGAATCAGGAGATTTTAAATGAAGACCGAGCTTTTCAATGTCTTCTGGAAATTAGGCCCATGAGATCTGCATTCCAAGCGGTGCCAAGTAGCCGGAGCAGAGTGCTGGCTGCTCCCTATAAACTGCACTCTCTCCTCGCCCCACCGCCCCCACTGCTACCTACTGTCCTGCGACCAGGCTGCTTCATGCGTGGACGTTCCCTGCCTAACCCCTGCAGCCCTTTGATTTTGCTACCCTGGGCCCTAACTCATCCCATTCTTGTGGTAGGTTGGAACCTCACCGCACCAGCACCATATAAATAATTCTCGAGTTAGCCACAAGGTGAGCGCCGTCCACTGGCCTTTGTTAGCGGATGTACTAGAAAGGACGTGCTAGCTTAGAGGCTGTGTGGTGTTTGGCCGAGGACAGTTTCCAGAGCCAGATTATGCCGGGCTTAACACCCACCTTTACAACTTACTAGCTGTGAGACAGCAGGCAAGTCACTTCACTTCTCTGAGCCTCAGTTTCTTCATCTGCAAACATGGGGATAATACTACCTACTTCATGGGGTTGCTGTGAGGACTCGGTGAGGGTTAATTCATATAAGAGCTTAGAACAGTATCTGGCATATGGTAAGTTCTATGTCAGTGTCAGCTGCTATTATTATAACCACTTAGCTCAAACACCGATCTGGGCAGTATGTATTTTCACAAGTCCCCAGGAGTCAGGCCAGGACTTGGCCTCGTTCCCCTGGAACACCGTCCTTTGAGCTTGGCTCATATGTACAAAGCCTTGAACTCTATTTAGTAGCATTTTAAACTCTGATGTCCTCCCCCAGTCATGTTGACAACCGTAGTAATAATAGAATAAATGGTTTGTATTTTTCCTGTACTACTAAGGAACAGATGCCAACCTATACACATTCTCATCAGCCTTCACGACAGCTTTATTAAATGGGTGCTACTATAATCCCCAGTTGACAGAGGAAGAAACTGAAGCTGAGAAAGGTAAGCAGTTGGCTGATGGTCTCACCGTAAGTAAGTGGTAAAGGGGGTACTTGTGTCCAGGAAGTCTGGTCCCAAACCCGCACCATTAACTCCACAGCTCACAGCCCTGTGCTCACACACACAAGCACATTACGCTTTCCTTAAGAGGGAAGTTGGTGTGTTCACATCTATCTTTCAACTGTCTTTTCCTTCATAAGCCAACATCATCAATTTGCCATCTTGCAGGCAAGAAAGTTTGAGGTTCCTTTGATATTTTAGTGTCCTTTTCTCCTCTCTTTGGCCAAAGCCATCTATTTTTTTCCTTTATGACTCTTTGTATTTTGACATCTCCCCCCTCCATCCAACTGCCCGATTGCTCATGGATTTGGCTTGCCTGTTAGGAAGCTGACCTACTGTGACATCCACTACACTCTTGGTTGCCAAGGTGGGGTTGGCTGACCTGGCAGGCTAAAGGGTGTGCCGCTCCTCTCTTATCCACCCAGTGGGCCCTTCCTGAAACCAAGTCAGAAAGACTGATCTTCTCAGCTTGAGGGAAACGGTGTAGGAGGAACAGTGCTGCTCTGACAGAAGAGTGAAAGGATTTCTGAGTTCTTATCTGTTTTGCTAGGAGTTACGCAGTGAGACAGAGATGAATCTGTACTTGCCATTTCCAGGTCTTGGTTGTCCATCACACTACCTTGCCCTCTGGCAAACCTCTGATGGAAAGTATCATTGATTCTAGCAGAGGGAGCCCATCTCAGCTGGTTGGAGAAATCAGAATAAATTTGTCCAAATCCAGAGAGAAACATCAACAGCACCCATCTCTTTATGAGATGAGAGCTCACGGAAAATACCAAACATCTGTGGAGACCCTTCTGCTCTTAAACTAAAAACAGTTAGGCTAGTTGGATGCAATGTCATGTAGCAAATCATTTAGCAGATTAGATGCTAAGGCAGAGCAAGTAATAACCTAAATAGTCCACTTACTGCCCTACATCTCACTCTCTTACAGTTTGGTCGAACTATGTGACTGGTGTTAGCCAATCAATTATGAGCCTAAGTGACATGTGTCACTCCAGGGCTGAGGCAGTGAAAACCCACGTGGGATTCTCTGGTTTTTCTGTCCCCTGTCTTAGCTTGAGAAGCCCTCATGCTCTAGATCAGAGGTTGGAGAACTATGGCCCATGGGCCAGCTCCCTGTTTTAATAAATAAAGTTTTATTGAACACAGCCACACCCATCCATTTACAGATTGGATATGGCTGCTTCTGTGCTAAAATGGCAGAGCTAAGTAGTTGCAACTGAGATGCTGACAGTGGCCTAAAATATTTACTATCTGGCCCTTTAAAGGAAAAGTTTGTTGACTCCTGTTTTAGATAGAGCAGCTATAAGATGGTGGAGTTTCAGATAGCCTGGACCCTGAGTGACTGTGTGGAAGAGAGACCTTCCGCAAACCTACAAGGCCCATGGAACAGCAGTGAGGAAAAATCAAAACCTTTTGTTTGGGATTGTTTGTTACTAAGCACAATCTGACCTATCCTAGTTGATTCCAGTGGACATTCAAGAAAGGGCATTTTAGGGGACTTCCCTGGTGGTCCAGTGGCTAAGACTCCATGTTCCCAATGCAGGGGGCCTGGGTTCCATCCCTGGTCGGGGAACTAGATCACACATGCTGCATCTAAGAGATCACATGCCACAACTAAAGATCCCACATGCCGCAACTAAAAGATCCCACATGCCACAACTAAAAGATCCCACATGCCACAACTAAGAGTTCACATGCCATAACTAAAGATCCTGCATGCTGCAACTAAAAGATCCCGCGTGCCGCAGCTAAAGATCCCACATGCTGCAACTAAGAGTTCACATGCCATAACTAAAG